ATGACAATATATAGAGCTGAAAATGAAATTGAGAAAATGCAGCTATAGTAGCATAACCTATTCCATATGGAAGTGTATCTGTTCTTATGTTAAAAAATTAGTGTATTTGATCCCTGAAATGATATATTATTTGTAATGTCATCTTGAAAGACACTAGAAAAAAATCCTTATCAAAATGATACACACAAATCACAATAAACCAGCTTGCTTTCCTTCACCCTCCATAGCAATTGACTACAAATGACTTTATTTCTCTTGGCTGCATTTGACATCTCCTTTGGGTCCCACAAGCAAGGGCACTCCACATTTATGCTCAAAGAATCCTTTCGTTTACTGGTTTACTTTAAATAATGTGTAATTGACCTTTCTGTTTATATACATGATTAATAGCATGCAGGCGGTAATGAATCAAAGGTGGAATAAGGGGATCTTTTTCCTCCGCCTCTTAAGAATAACACAGTATAACAGTGGCTTTTCTTGATCATCTAATTTTCATAGAAATTCATAGGTGATTGCTAGAAAGGATGGAAAGAAGTAAAGTCCAGTTCTATCAAATGAATAGCCTCCTTAACTTTTTCTGTGAATTCACCTGAAAACTACAAGTTCAGTTGAATCCTTCTCCCATGAATCATCCTGAAATCAAAATTCATTTATTTATTTATTTTTTAAAAAAACCCTCTCACTCCACACCACTAGAATTATTGAGTTCCCACAATGATAGACGGGATGCTTTTGAACAAATAACTGTAGGGCACATGATTAACTGCAATGAAAGGGTTAGTGCTTCATAACACGAAGCTATTTAAAAAAAATGGAAAAAACTCAATCCAAATAATATGCACTTGCTCTAGTCCAGTGGTTCTCGACCTGTGGGTCGGGACCCCATTTGGGGTCGAACGACCATTTCACGGGGGTCGCCAAACAATGCAGTCCGCCATTTTTTTCCCCTTTTCCTTAGCTGTGCTACTCCCTTTTATTCTATTGGCTTTTGAAAGCCAATAGAATAGACTCTCTTGAATAGAGTCTAATTCTATTGGCTTTCAAAAGCCAATAGGAATTGTCCAGGCTGTCTCTGCCCTGCTGAGCCCGCCAAAAGTCCCATTCTGCAAACGGTGCTGCACCAGTTGAGTAGTCCTCGACTTACGACCGGTTGAGTAGTTCTCGACTTACAACCAGTTGGGGGTCGCGGCATTAAAAAGGTTGAGAACCACTGCTCTAGTCTTTGGTAGAAAAGAAGAAGACTTGAGTTATGTAACGCAGTATTGCCAAATGTTATTATGAGCCCTTAAGTCTCAGAATTCACATACCATAACATTTGTTTTTTTTCCCAGTGATACATGAAGAACTTTGAATGGATAAAAGTATATTTTTTACACTCAACATATCACAAACTATCCAATCAGAAATTTGCTTGTGGCCAATCTGAAGCCTTAATATTGACCTTTAAAGGCTTAAGTTATTTGGAACCATCCATTTTCCGTTGAGCATACCATTCACCCTTTGCCATCACTCTGTCTTGACTCTAATTATTGCTTTTTTATTTGGGTGAATTGTTGAACATTTTTGCCCAAATGTATACCTATCATCCTTATTCAATAACAATGGAAATTGAGGTTGGGCTGAAAAGAGTTGTAATCCAACATGTCTAAGCGTAATTGTAGTTGTTGGAAGCCATAGTGAATAAATATACAGAATGGTCATTAATACAGTTAGATGACAGGGCGGTTTAGGTTTTAATCTTATTAGCAAATTTAGGTAACAAGGGTATCAGCTTTATGGATTTATAATTTTTATAATTTATTTCTATAGATTAATTCTATATGGTGGCCTTTTTTTCAAGGTAAGTAGAAATCAACATAGGCGTATATTTCTTGAAGAGGTCTTGCTTTCAACTCTCTGGAAGTCTATTTGCTACAATCATTTGCCAAGGACGTTCCTCCTGATATTATCTCTAGCACAAGTCATCCTGAAGATGGCTTTTGGTATTCCAGTCTGGACCTGCTATTTTGCATATTAAGCATGATGTTCCTTGTGGACAATTTAGGAGAGTCAGAGAAAGAGGCTTACCCAACTGATGCAAGAGAATTGCTATGGCACCATTTCTTTTTCTTCAGTCATGGGCTGAAGGGTATATATTGTGTCTTTTTGTGTGAGTTTTCAGTAGGTTGATTTGTATTTCACATTTGCTGGCTTCAAGGGGTGCGGGACCCTGGCTTCTGCAGTCACTTTATCTGCCACATTTTCAAGTTGATTTTAACTACATTATGCCTACTTTAATATAACTATTTTTATACTGACTAAAATCTAACTTTAATCTATAAAACAATTGAAGAAAAAAAAGATGGAGTAAGCCTTACACCTACACACCTACACAGCTAGATCCCTGTCTGAAATTTCATCTTTTTAAGAACACTTATTTAGCAACTTATCTGCCGAGTGCACTGGGACAAGTAAACTGTGTAGATGGTGCTTTAGTTTTGCTCAAACACTGCTTTGCTTGGCTAGATTGCAACTACATTATCCCAGAAAAAGTGGATGTATAGTCCCTAATGTTGTCGGTGTTTGGGGGGATGCTGTGCCTTCTCCTTCTTTTCTGTTGGTTGCTATTTTAATAAAACATACTTGGAAAGTACATAACAGAATTTGAATATGTGCCTTTAAGAAAGCTGAAGATGGAAGGTTGGAGGGGGTTGCTTTTAGTTGGGACTCTAGAGACATTCTGGCATTCTCTGATATGTTGTGATGTGTAATCTCTGTCAGAGCATTTAATTTTTAGGCACCAGTGTTTCCATGGAGGCTATAAACTAATGTTTTGTTTTTCTGCCATTTCTACTTGTGTGTTCCTTCTTTCACACATTATAAATAGAATAATATTTAGAATAATATTGGCATATCCCCAGATACGGTATAATTGGTATCTTGTTTTACTTTACTTTTAATGCTTTTATATCCTATTTCTAACTAACAACAACAAGTAACAAGAATGGAATTAAAAAATTGAAAGTCATTAAAACACAATCATATCATGCTTTCAGCAACAAAGAAACTTACATATAATGATTGATGTGCCCAAATAGATTACAGTTTAAATCCAAAATGTATTCACATCTTAAACAAATAAGCTAAATCTCCATTCAAAATAAATGAAGGATAAATTCAAACGTATTGATTAAATTCTTTCATCGTGCAACAAAACAATTCCCTTCCAACTGGAAATAGAAGCAAAGGTTTAATTCTTAATTATGATTAGTAATTATGATTCCCCCAAGAGGGTATTATAACCAAGACTGTAAGGCTGGGCATTGCACTAGCTAGTAAAAGTGGTTAAGATCAACATCTGATATATAAAACAGAAAATTCCAGAAGTGCCTATACAGGGAACTAAAAGAAAGTATCTTTGATAATATAATATTTATTTTACTGTGCCTAATTGTAGAGCTGGCCCTACAGTGCCAGTACTTCCAGAAAGATGTAAGATAGTCATTCTAACAATCTAATTTTATGTCCAGATTTTATATTATTCCCTGGTAATATTCTTTTTCTGATTATATGTATACCTAATTTTACTTTAAGATTTTCTCAGATTGCTGACATTGCTTTCTGTGTTTGGCCTGAAAAAATTGAATACTCATTGTTTAATATCAGTTTGGTTTCACACCAGATGAGATGAATAGGACATAGAATAACACCAGTAGGATTTTATTTAATGAAATTGGGAGTTGATTATAACAGTAAACATAGTAATAAATTTTCAAAACGAATTGTCTGTATATCAGTTATAATAATGAAAGCCCTAAATACAATGTCTGAATGCCTTTATTATTAAATTTCAAATGTATGTAAAATACTCAGTACATATCTGTTTGACCCTTGCAGTGGAATTTTTTTCAAGAAAAGAAGTTCAGTAGAAAATTTATTTCAACATTATCCATGTGCAACTTACAGCCTGTTATTAAATGACAAGAAAATGACAAATTTATTCTTGCCAGTTTGGTCTAGTGGTTAAGGCACTAAGCTAAAAAACTAGAGACTATGAATTCTAGTTCTGCCTGAGGCATTAAAGCTGACTGAGTGACTTTGGGCCAGTCACTCGCTCTCAACCTATGATGCCAGGCTTAAGTGACAAGCCAGCCAGTCAATTCTGTTCACAACCAACGCTTAGTTCATGTGAAAAAAGCAGACCCTGCACTTGTGAGAAAACATTAAGAAGAAGAAAAATCTATCCATTATCCATTATCTCTTTTTCTCCCTATACACATACAAACACACATAAAATTTGTGTAGTCTTTTTAAATATAAATTTTCTTTACAGTGGAGTTGGTTTCTTAGTAATTTCATGACAGCCACCAAAATAAGATTTTGTTCTGCTTCTTTATTTGTTTGCTTTTTTTAAAAAATGGCGATCTACCCTAAATAAGTCCTGGTATTCTTTCCTATAATTTTACCATTGAATTCTACAACCCAACTTAATTTTTTGAAAATCAGGCAAGGTCATCTAGGTGTAGCGCTTTAGCAGGACCTAAAGGACAGTCAGATTTAATGAACAGTCTAGTTTAACGAAGAGAAGGACAAGGGGGGACATGATAGCAGTATTCCAATATCTCAGGGGCTGCCATAAAGAAGAGGGAATTAAGCTATTTTCCAAAGCACCTGAAGGCAGGACAAGAAGCAACGGGTGGAAACTAATCAAGGAGAGAAGCAACCTAGAACTAAGGAGAAACTTCCTGACAGTGAGAACAATTAATCAGTGGAACAGCTTGCCTCCAGAAGCAGTAAATGCTCCAACACTGGAAGTTTTTAAGAAGAGACTGGACAGCCACTTGTCCGAAATGGTGTAGGGTTTCCTGCCCGAGCAGGGGGTTGGACTAGATGACCTCCAAGGTCCCTTCCAACTTTACTATTATTATTATTATTATATATTGTCACTTTTGTTGCAGTGGACTAACACTAAGTCTGCCATAGTTATAGTTTAACTTAATTTGGTTCTTAATATCTTACAGCTGTACAGTTCTATGGATTTTGGAAGGAGATGGCAGATCATGCATGAACGGATCACACCAAACCGATTTTATTGGTGAGTTCCTTACTTTGTATTAAAACTGCATATCCATGTATGACATATTAGAATTCTATAATATTGCATAGAAGATTTTTTTGGAATACATTGTCCTGTTAGTTTATTTTATCCAGGACAGGAGGGAAGAAGTGTCTCTATTAAGTTTCCTTTTTTTAAAAAAAAATGTTTTATTGATTTTTTTTTACAATAACAATCCTTAATGCCTGGTATACAGCCAGTAGGGGATTCAGCCAGTTCGTACCACTTTGGCAGAACCGGTAGCTAATTTTTTTGTTGCCCAGGCCTAGAATGGACTTCTGGAAGCGGCATCCACACAGAGAACTGATTGTTCACATATCTGAATCCCACCACTGTGTACAGTGTGTTGTCTTGGTTCATAAATTAAAAAAACACACATGCACAGAAATTAATAGTAGTTAATTAACAGTCAATAATAATTAATATACTTCCATAATTAGTATATTGATTAATAGTATATTTGTTTGATCTTCTCTTCTCCTAATAGCATTCTCCTTCAACCTTAAATATATTTTTTAATATTTTCAATACATAAATGATTAAATATGAAAATTTTCTTCCATCTTTGTACCAACAATAATAGCGTCCATATGTGACATTTCTTATCAACTTGTGTTATTTTTATAAAAATCAGCTTATTGATTCACCATATCCTATTTTTGTAAATCTTGTTTAAGCTTATTTTCTCCTTAATATTCAAACAATTCTTATCAGTCATAATTTTCTCAGTATTTAAAATCTAAATATCCAAATTTTCCATTTTAATACATCATACCAATGTTTTCATATTTCGTATGTTATAAAAATACTATACTGCTTATCTATCTTATGACATCTACCTATAACATCTTTTCTGATCAGTTTATATTTCACTTATATTTGTAAAAGTTAATTTGTTAAATCACTATATGTCCTTTTTTCAAAGTTCTTATTTAAGCTTAATTTCCCCTCAATATTTCAATCATTCCTTAATCCTAATTCTCTTCAAACTTAATTTATCTTTGAAATTCAAACTTTTTATTCACATACATTATCCCAATATTTTTACATTTTATATATTATCAAAAGTACTATATTACTTATATCTCTTATCCCTCTTATTGTAAGGCCCCTTTATAGCCAAAGTTTTCTGTTCATTTAACTATATTCAAGCAAGCGTTTGTTCGAATCATATCTCTTGAATCTGTCTCTGGCCTTCTTCTTTTGCCAAATAACTTTCCAAATTGTTATTTTCTGCTTGCCAGAAAGTTCTTGTATTTTTGTAAATGTTGTTGGGAGTGAAGAAGACAGAATACATAAAATATATGCCTTTTGCCTCCCAAACAATGATTCTCCTAGCAGTGTCTGTTTTGTTAAGTCTTCTTTCTTATCCTCAGGTTTATTTTGACGTTCTAATGAATAAGGTATCTTTTCCATTTTTGGTGTTATGCCCAAGTCTTGTAACTTTTTTCCTGTTTGTATGAAATTATAATTCTCTTCATTTGTAACTTCGCTGATTAAGTCATTTTTTTTCTAGTTTGTATTCTGTTGTCTGATTTGTTTGTTCATTTTTACTATCATTTTCTGAGTATTTTTTCACTGTGAATTTAATTAGAAATGTGCTCATTTATGTCATCAAAGTTGTGTTTAATCTCTTCATGGCTTAAAATTATTGTCATTTGCATCTGTCATAACATTACATAAATTTCCTCTTGGAGAGTATTTGTCTTATCTTGAAATGTTATTTCTGGAGGTCTTTGATATTCCAGGCTGAGTCCTCCAGGAGTAGATATTAAATGTGTCATTTTTTGATAAGTATGCCATATCCATGTTATCTTCCCCTTTCAAATAATCCATCATCAGTGCCATAGTCTCTGTAATTAGCCTTGTCATACGAGCCAAAAGTCAAAATCTGAACAGTCCAGTTTTGTATAGTTCTTATCTTTATATAAAGTTTTTATAATCCACTGTATTTCCAGTTGTCAAGGCTTCGGTAAAATCAATGTTTTGTAACAGTTCTTTCATTCAGGAGTCAGTTGTCAACCAGTCAAAATTGCAGTTCAGTATATTTAGCCACCTTGAATCCTTCCTGTAAATCCTCCCCTAAAAGATTAGTCAAAAATCAAAGTTTTTCTTTTTCTATAAACAATTCTTGAGTTTAGACAACAGAGTATTTCTTTTCCTTCAACCACTTTCTAATCTTATAGCTGGCCCAGTATGTATTCTTTTCTTTGTTCCCAGCAGCTGTCTTCTTAAAGGTTATTAGAGTTCAAGGGAACAGATTTTTCTTTATTTCTGGGCATTAGTGTGCTATGTTCTAATCCTCTACTAGGTATCAGTAGTTTTTAGTTTTCCAGCTTTTTCAGGCAAGAAATTATTCTTATTTTTTTATAATTTTACCAAGACCCTTTAAAGTATAATCTTAAGAGGAACTGGAAAAGAACTCAAAAGAAAAGGATCTTAGCCTTTTGAAACCCCAAATAAAGGTCTTTAGTTCAGGGCAATGGGTTCATGATGGGGTGGGAGGAAATCTGGACTGCTAGTTTGTCTGGGCCTGGTAGGGTAGACTATGGGAAGCAGCATTCGTATTAAATAAGCATCAACAAATAGAGAGCAAGCCCATGCTGATAGTCTCTTCCTTTAAGGAGGAGGCTTAACTAAAGTAATAAAAGTGGTGACCCCTTTAAATTGAAATTGATATTTTAATGTCAGATCAGTTGATTTATTTACTAAATTTATATGTATTTCATATAAATCCAGAATCTGGATACTGGAAGAGAAGGCAGTTTATTTCTGCCAATTTTGTGGGATGGCAATCTAGGTTTGAAGGTCAAGGAAGTCTACCTAAATATTCCATATTGCATTTTGCCAATTTGGAACACATGTTGTTTAACTGGATGGTTAATACTACAAAGGTTTATTGGTTCCCCCCCATCTAGTAGTTTAAAGGGAGTTTGGTTATAGATCTATGCTTTTTATCTCAACATAAATGCAAAGAAACTAGTAGCAATGCTTCATATGTATTAGAAATAGAGGTGACTGAACTGGTGTTTCACTCTTCTGTCTGACTAGTCTCTTCCCAAGCTAGCTGGGGTAACTTGGGTAATACAATTGGAATGTCGTAAGTTTTTTTTCTTGTCTGATTTCCACTTAGGGATAGCTTAAGAAGTTTTGCTTATGCAAATACTAGGCTTTCCAATCTAGTATTTGTGTGATAAATGTTGGGTTTGAATTTCTATTTGAATGAAGTTAATGATTTGAAGTATGACTTCAGTTTCCTGCACAGGTTACTCCTTCATCTGATTTATACAGAAGACCAATATAAAGTTCTATAATGTTAGGACAGATAAAAATGGTCTGATGGATCTGGATGATTTCCTGAATGTGTTTTTGGAATTATCCACATAATTGCTCAGCTATACAGTTCTTACCAATTTTAATCTTATTGCTATTTTTTAATTTGCATTTTAAAATATATATTTTACTTTCTCCTAAATGTTATTAGCTGGCTTAACATTGCCAGGCTTTGAGTTTGGCTTATTTTAATAAGCTATTATTACCATTAACCAAAGAATGTGTTGGCAAACCACAATTAATTAAAAAAAAGGATGCTTTTGATCTCCTGTGGCTACAAGAAGCAAAGGAAGAGAGTGCATTACAAAACTGAAGTTTGTGCGTTATCTTCAAGTGTAACCAATGTGTAAAATGCTTTGAAATGTCATGAATTTTCTTGCATTTCCAGATTTATTGGGAATAACTCTTGGGTTTGAATGACAAGATTAAATACAATTGCTTAATCCAGTTAGAGTCTGATTTTTTAATGTTTAATTTTATTGTTTAAATAGTGCTACAAAACATCTGGGAGCAACCCTATCTCTGACTTTAAAGAGTTCTCATATTTAGCAGATTGAGTAGAATGCACGCTGTATACTAAACATGGTTTCTTATCATGGCAAAACAGACAAGACTTTTCTCTACTTATTTTGAATGTGAGCCATTTTGTATAGTTCAGTAACATTCCATTAAAGATAAGGAGATTCTTCTTTTATGCCTTTTCCCATTGGAAATTAACCAACTCTTTTAAGATGACTATACATCAGTGGCTATATGAGGCAGAATCTATTCTCAGCAAGAAGAGAGAATTGAAACGCCTGCTCTTTTGTTTCCTGGGATTCCCCAGAGTCTCATCTTTAGAAGAAGCTTAGTTTAATTTTGCCGTTATTAAGCAGAGGAGACATGAGGTTACAGAAGAATTTCAGATACACAGACCATGATATACCATTGTTCTTTAAATAAAGTGGGTTATTTGAGTTGCAATCAAATACTTTTCCCTCTAACATAACAGGTTGTGCCAGTAATAAGAACAGTTGGGTTTTCTTGCTGTACTTACAATAACTGGACAAGTTTAATGCAGTTGCATTATTTGGACTTTATACGAAATTAATGAATTGCTGGATAAAAGCTCTCTATATAAAAGGTATACATGTATTGTTCATAGATTGGGGTGCAGAATGATTAATTGTTGCTGCAAGTGTCATCTTTGCCCTAAGAAACTGTGACTCCAGAAATAATGCCTACACATTGTGCCTGTAAACAAGTGTTCTATCATTCCATTTTCACTGTTTTAAGCTGGCATATTGTCAGGCAGGGCTTTTTTTGTCATACATCACCCAGAACGGAGTTCCATTACTTTTTGGGATGGAACCTTGTAGGGTCGGCAAAGTGGGTTGTATGACATGTGTGAGTTCCAGCACTTTTTTTTTTTTTTTTTTTACAAAAAAAGCACTGCTGTCAGGCAAAGTTCTTTTAAATAATGATTTCCCATTTCAAATAAGTACTATTAATTTTATTTCTTTTTAAAAATTGTCCAGTATTTAATTTGAAATACAACAATCTGTTCAGAAACAAACAGAAAGTATGCAAAGGTAATATGGAATCTCTGTAGGAAAGTGAACTGCATACAGGAGGTAGTAAAGGTCATTTTGGTAAATAAGCTCTCA